TGTTGTTGGGAAAGCACTGGTTAGATCAGAGATAATATTGGTGACGATGGTTGTAGCTGTTTCTATGAGACCAGATGACACTGGCTCTTCTTTAATGATAGGTTCAACCGGTTGTTTGTATGCATGATAGACGTCACTGCTACTAAAGTAACCTGCAACTGAACTTGAAATTGGTTTTATATAGTCGTGTTGAGTATTTGCAGCTTCTTCGCCTAAGCTAGTTATAGGTGTTTGTGTTGATAGAATTGTGGTCGGTCGTAAAATGCTCGTGATTTCTAATGAATCTGTGGGTGAGCTTCGTCGTTGTTCGTCCTTGGATATCTTTTCATTCTCAATGGATGATGTCAGAACGGCAATTCGTTCTTTTGTTTCAAGTGGACTTACTACTTGTTCAGTTGTAGGAGCTGATTTAAAAGTTGTACTTGTTTCTGTGATAGTTGTTGGGGTTTTCGATGGAAGTTCATTTTCATCGTAGATTCTTGAATCGATGGATGTGATTGTCTCTTGAGTCGTAGTTGGCTTATGGGAAGCACCAGTAATAATAGAGAAAGCATCAGTTATGGCTGATGTTACTTTGTCAAAGATGGTGGTTTGGTCCTTTTCGTCAATATCTGGTGTTTCTTCCGTAGTTGATACATGCTTTTGATCGGTAGACGCTGAAGTAGTCAGTTTATAATGAGATTCTGGTATTTGCATTTCTTCTTGTTGATCGTTTAATTCATTAGTAGATGAAACTGTGTCAATTGGTGGTGGTAATTTCACATAGGTTGTTGGATATTGTGTTTGTGCAAGTATTTGTTCGAGAGCCATCTGAAGATGTGAACCAGAAGTTGGTTCCTCACGAACTCTTCTTTCATTCGGACTAATAACTGTACGAAAAGGTGTAGCAATTATATTTTCAATTATTTTAGCTAACTCATCAATATTTATTCTATCTTCAGTTGATTTTTCATCTGTTGATGTAATGACCTGTTCATCGGTTGATAATATACCAACTTGTTTATTAGTGTCATGAGCAAGGTTTTTAATCGTGGCATCTTCAAGTGTTGTAACATGATCGATAAGAGCATCATATCGCTGTTGTAAATGTTGATCATCATCTTTTTCTTCTCTAATATCTGTTGTTTTTGTTTCTGTTTCAATAACTGATGATGACAATGATTGTAAATTGATCAATGGTTTTTCTAAATTATCAATGTGTTCAAATGATTTAGAATATCGTGAATCTAATTCAGGATTTGTTATAATTTCATCTTGAATGGTTTCATCAAATACTTCTGTTTCAATTTTCTTTGGTAATAAATCATTATCATCATCAAATTCATCTTTTGATGGAAATACAAGTGTTTGATTGTCAAGTGTTTCTTTAATATCATTATCAAGTGTTGTTGGAAGAAGATTAGATGATAAGATATGTTGTTGACTAATTAATTGTTCAACTGGTTCTGTTATTGAACTTGTTTCTGATGTTATATCACCTTTATGTTCAAGTAAATCAGAATCAAGTGCTTCAATTGCTTCTATAATTCTTTTAACATTATCTGAAACAGGTGCATCACTGAAAGGCATTGTAAATTGACCATCATCGGCTTGAAATTGTTCATTGGATTGTAAAGAAATATTTTTTACATCATCTGAAACAATTGATTGTTCATCATGTTTTAATTGCATTGATAGTTGTTGATCAATGTGATGCGTCATATCATCAACTGTATTAACAATATCATCGGGTACACCAAATACTTGACGATATTCTCTTGTAGGTAAATTTGATATAATTGAAGGTGATTCTAAATCAAAACGTCGTGCATATTCATAAGCATGATCATCAAGATTAATATCAGTTATATCTTGTTTCTTTTCTTTTTCTTCATAATCAATTAATGGTTGCATAGTTGTCCATGTTGTTAATGAAGAAGATATTTGTTCTGATTTTTCAATTTGAGTTGATTCTTGAGGAGACATTAATGTATGACGTTTTTCTTGTAATTCATAATATGCTAAAGGTGAATCAGATATTACTTTTTTCTCTTCTGACATTGGTACTGATTGTACGGATTCTTGTCTATCTATAGGAGTGAAATGTGATGATGATTCTTCGACAACATCTGATATAAAATGTCGATGTTTATATAATTCTCTAAAATTAACTTCTGAACTATTTGGAGTTTCAGGGACAAAAAATGTCGGTACATTAGTAGCTGAAGTATCTTGATCGACATCATCAATTCGAAAAGTTGGTTGAACGGCACTGGCTCGTTGTAAAGATGTTGTTGGGTCTGTGATGTCGAATTGTTCGGGTGACATTGTTTGAATATTTAATGTTTTTGGTATTGTATCAACAATATTCGGAAGTTCAGTAATATTAAAATGTTCATCAAAATCAGGTTTAGGAGAAACAATAACTTTATTATCTTCATGGGAAATAGAGGATTCCAAAGAAATTTCATTTGGAAGTTTAAGTATACTATGAACAATATTTGTTAGTCCAGATATTGAATGATACTCATCGACTGATTTAGTTTCAATATCATTTGTAAAGTTAATATCAGTATCACTTTTATCGGAAAATTCATCTTCGGAGGAAAGTGAAACAAATGGCTGATTGTCATTTTCATCAGGAATGGATTGTTCAATTATATTACATGCATTGCTGATAGCATCATTAACAATAGTATTGATTGTAGTATATAGTGATGAAGAAATGAATTGATTTTCATCATAAGGTATTAATTTATCTTCCGAAGTAGAAGTAGATTTTGCAATAATCGTTGGATGCAATGATAATTCTGATTCACTATTAATGATATCTTGAAACAAAGAGTCATTGCTTGATGGTTCAATTATATCGCTAACAGTAGATTGAAGTGGAACTTGATCATTATCCGATAAAGATAATTTGCTTATAAGAGAAACACCTTTGTCAGATTCATTAAGCTGTGGTTGGACATATGATATTTCTTTTTTGTCCGTATCTATATCAGTGGTTGATCGCTTCGGTGACGTAACAAATTCATGAACGATTTTGACTAGGGAATCTATTGATTGTTTTACTTCTTCAGAGGGAAGCGTCATTTCCCTTTCATCCTTGATACTTGATGTTGTTAAAATTTCACGAGTGACTTTCATTAAAGAATCTAACGATATATTTTCAGCTTCTTGGACAGATGGATGATGAACACCTACAACAGGTTTTTTTATATCTTCAGTTTTGTTTGTCGCTATACTTGAATCGGATTGTTCTTGAAAAAGCTTGTCCTCTTGTGATCGTGTCATATCAGTTCCAACCGACGGCAAATTAACAGGAAATGGTGTGCCTAAAATTTCATGTGCGCTTCCAATGAGTGAATCAATTGACTCAGTTTCATCTTCTATTTTTTCTTCTGCGCCATTCGATGGATGTTGTATTTCAACTGCTGTTTTGCCAGCATCAGGAATTATAGTAATCGTTTTATCGGATACCACATTTTCTGGAATGGTACGAATCTTTTCCAAAACTACAGTTTCAGGAGTTATCACCGGTTGCTCGATTGATTTACCAGTCTCTGGTTTCAACTCGACTGGAGAAGGAAGGATGCTGAGGGATGAATCCGAAACTTCAGGAACATCTTCATTCAAGGGTACCGATGTTGCATGTTCAACACCATAATCTGATGTAGTATCTTCGGCAGATGATGTACGAACTTCCGCTTTTCCTTCGTCCATATTTTTTACTACAGGTTCTGTTTTATGTAACAGTTGTATTTCATCCGGCTTTGTATCTGACATTATAAGTTTTTTTTCTGTTACTGTTCCAACTGGTAGAACTACTGGGGTTGCTTGTTCAGATGTTCCAGAAACTATCTCATCAAATCGCCGTTCAATTTCTTTCTCCTTCGTCGCCGTTGCTTTTTCAGACACAGATTCGGCTGTTGAAAGATGAACAGTAACTGGTGTAGCAAGAATTTCACGAACAACTTCAGTTAATATTTGTGTTGAAAGCCGCTCAGCTTCACGTTCTTCGATTTTGCCTTCAGTTGATGGTATATGAGATTCTGTTGTTGTTTCCTGTACAGTTTCAATAGCAGATGATCTTGTAATAGGTTGTTGTAATTCTTCTTGTTTACTATCCACAGATTTCGTTGTTTCTTCTTCTCTCGTAATCACGTCGGAAGGTAGAACCTCTTTGACTGGTTTAATAAATTCAGTGACTGATGTGAGAGATGGTTTTTCTTCTTGTTCTTCAGTTTTGATTACTTGTTCTACAATGTGATCGACTTCTGGGAGATGCACAGTAACTGGTGTAGCAAGAATTTCACGAACAGCTTCAGTTAATGCTTCTGATGAAAGGCGTTCAGCTGCATGTTCTTTCTCTTTTTCTTCAGTGGATGGTACATGAGATTCTGTTGTTGTTTCATGTACAGTGCCAGTAACAGATGACGTTGTACTAGGTTGTTGCAATTCTTCTTGTTTAGTATCTACCGCCTTTGTTCGCTCTTCTTCTCCTGTAATTATTCGTGACGACAGCACCTCTTTGACTGGTTTAATAAGTTCAGTGGCTGATGCGAGAGACGGTTGTTCGACTTGTTGTTCTCTTTGTGTAACTTGCTCCACAGTGTGATCAACTTCTGGGATATCAACGGTAAGTGGTGTTGCAAGAATTTCACGAACAACTTCAGTTAATATTTGTGTTGAAAGCCGCTCAGCTTCACGTTCTTCGATTTTGCCTTCAGTTGGTAGTGGATGAGACTCGAATGTTGTTTCCTGTACAGTGTCAATAACATATGGTATTGTACTGAGTTGTTGTGATTCGTCTTGTTTAGTTTCTACAGGTTTAGTTGTTTCTTCTTCTTGTGTAATCACTTCTGAAGGTTGCATCTCTTTGACTGGTTTAATAAGTTCAGTGGCTGATACGAGAGACGGTTGTTCGACTTGTTGTTCTCTTTGTATAACTTGCTCCACAGTGTGATCGACTTCTGGGAGATCAACGGTAAGTGGTGTTGCAAGAATTTCACGAACAACTTCAGTTAATATTTGTGTTGAAAGCCGCTCAGCTTCACGTTCTTCGACTTTGTCTTCAGTTGATAGTAGATGAGATGCAGTTGTTGTTTCATGTACAGATTCAATAGCAGATGATGTTGTACTAGGTTGTGGTAATGCTTCTTGTTTAGTTTCTACAGGTTTAGTTGTTTCTTCTTCTATTGTAATCACTGCTGAAGGTTGCACCTCTTTGACTGGTTTAATAATTTCGTTGACTGATGTGAGCAATGGTTTTTCCACTTGTTGGTGAGTTTGGGTAATTTGTTCTACAGTATGATCAACTTCTGGAAGATGAACGGTAACTGGTGTTGCAAGAATCTCACGAATGGCTTCGGCTAAAGCTTCTGATGAAAGACGTTCAGCTTCACGTGCTTTCGCCTTTTCTTCAGTTGATTCAGGATGAGGTGCGATTGTCGATTCTTGTTGAGTTGTAATAAGAGTTGATGCTACACTTGGTTGTTGTAGTTTTTGTTGATGTGTATCTACCGGTTTTGTGATTTCTTCTTCTATTGTAACCGTTTCTGAAGGTTCTGTTTGCCCAACTAGTTTGGTAAGTTCAGTGTATGGTGTGAAGGATGGTTTTTCGACTATTTGTTTAGTTTCTGTAATTCTATGTACGATGTGATCGATAGGTGGTTGATGATCAATAACTGGTGTGACTTGAGGCTGTGGAACGGTTATTGGCAATTCTTCAGCTGAAAGACTTCTAGGCTTTAGTTCTTCAACGGTTGTTCCGGCAAGTTTCTCGTCTCTGGGTTCAGTAGTAGATGATGAAGTCATTGTTTCGTGTAAATCGATATATTGCAAATGTTTTGGTGTTTTGACTTGTTCTTGTATCTCTGGTTTTGGTGACACTTCATCTTTGGTTAGGGAATCAATCGACTGGTTGTCAGGTTTTTGATCGAGAAAATAAGTGGTTTGTTTTACATGATCAATCAATGGCTGGTGAATATCAATTGATTTGGTAAGATCATCAGGAATGTGTATTTCGTCATCAGTTGTTTGTTGACGATCTGTGGTTATTATTTCAGTTTTAGGTTGAATATTGTCTTGAGTTTGCGACTGTTCGATTTTCTCTATTTTATCTTGTTGGACAGATTCTTCTTTTGTTTTGACAACATCTAGTTTTTGTTTCTTCGGAGATTCTGATGATTCTTCATCGCTGATAGGACTAATACTAGTTTTCGCTGACATTTCACAAATAATTGTTGTAAGGTTTTCTGTCGATGGTTGTTCTTCAGACTTATCGATGGTTGTAAATCTTGCTGTTTCAGTACTTTCCTTGTTGTCTTGAGTTTTTTCTGCTTCGATAGCTTTTTGCTGTGTCATTTCTTCTAATGTCGTTGCTAATGTAGATGGAACAATATCAACAACAGGTTCGATCGAATAATCAACACTTTTAACGGTATCTGTTTTTATTTCAGCTAATGGTCGATGAACAGGAAGTGGTGTAGCTAATATTGCACGAGCAATTTCTGTTAGTGCATCAAATGAATGACGTTCAGTTTCATAGGTTTTTCTTTTATCTCCAACTGGTAATTCACGATCTTCAGATGCTGTTTGTTCTGTAACTTGTGTAGTAGTTGTAAGACTTTTTGTAATCGAGTCTTCACTAGCACGATCTTCTACTATTTTTGGACTAGTAGTTTCTGTGACATGTAAATGAAGCGATGTTGATGGCGTACTAGTAATAGAAAAATCAAATTTTTATTTAAGAAAAATGACAAAAAAGAAGAAAATAATTTACCTGTCACCATCATGAAGATTTTTCTGTAGTGTTTCTACATGTTCTCTTAGAATACTTCGATCAGATAAGTCAATTCTCGGTTTTTCATCATGTTTTTCTGTCGTTACAATAGCTTCAGTAGTTATAAGATGTGATGGTGTAGAAGTAACTGGTGCTACAAGAGTTTCCCAATCTGCGTCGACCAAAGATTCGGATGGTAGATGCTCTGGCTCATCTTCTTTGATTGTTTTTTCAGAAGTTGTTTCTTGTTTATGTTCAGTGACCAAGGATATTTCGCTTGGTTTTGGAATCAACTCCTGAGTATCATGTGTTTGTTCTACTTTTATTGTCATTCGTTCACGAGGAATGCTTTCATTTGGTATTACTATTTCTACATGAGAATCAGCTAATGGCTTCGCAATTTCTTGTTTATTAATATGAGTAGTTTCTGTTTTAATATCAGCTGATATAAGACGAAGAATTCGCGCTAAAGTATGCATCTGACGAACAATATTGACTAAAGAATCTACTGAAACTGGTTCACCAATTTCTTTTCTTGATTGAAATTCAGTTGATGATTGATCATCTTTTGATGTTGGTTTTTCCATGGCTTCAGGAGTAATAGACGACATACTCGAGATCAATTGTTGTTGTTTTTGTTGTTTGTCAGACGTGATGACAGATGGAGTACTTTCAATTATTGAATCAATTGAAGATAATCTGTCTTCTTGTCTGGTCGATTCGATTGATTTTTGAGTATCTGTATATATTTGTTGTTTATCCAAAGAAGAGCGAAGAGGTTGAGAATGTATTTGATAAATAATGTCAGCAAGATAATTAACATTTAATAATCGTGTTTGTGTTACATCGTCTGTATCCTGAGAGAATAGTTGTTTTGATTGTAATTGAGTAGGAGAAATTTCATCAGTTACAACAGAAGAAGCCTGAGAGAAAATGTCTTGTTCATGTTGAGGTTTTTTAACATTGGTTATTATTTGTTCAACAACATGGACTAGAGAATCAGTCGATGATGGTAATTGTTCAATTGTTAAATCTTGTTGATCTAGATTTGTTTCTGGAATATTTGAAATTGCACTATCAATTTCATGAATTTTAAGAGAGGACTTCTCTTCATTGTCTTGTTCAATATCATGTTGATCGAGTGTTGTTTGATCAATTTGAGTTCTACATGAAAATAAATAGTCAAATAATGTAAATATTAAAAATATTTATATAATCTGATGTAAAAGAATTTCATAACGATGTATTTTTCTCTCGACTGTATTCTATATCAAAATTTCAGAGACGATCTATAGTGACAAAGTTTTTAGAGAACAGGAGATAATAGTTTTCAAGTTTCAGAAACAATTTTTCAACCATGCTATTTGAAGGAGTAAAAATCCTGAGTGAAACAAATGAGAGATTGCATCATTTTTCTTTATCCTTTCGTTAAAAGTATCAAAACAAAAATTGAAAAAAAGCGTTTTTATGAATTTTTTGATATATTTCGTTTTGTTTTACAGATTTTATAATACTTTAAACTTTTTTAACGAAAAGCCATAGAAAATGTGGCAATATCTTATTTTATTTCGAACTTCATGCTCATTAAAAAAATAACTTCTGAGATCTGAAAACTACTGTGTTCCAATTTTCGAGAAACCTTGCCATCATAGTTCACTTCGAAAGTCTTAGCATAAAATGCATTATATAGAAAAATTCCAATGGTTATTAAAATCATTATTTGGATTTGAGATGGGGATTTGACCTTATAGAAAGAAAATAATTCGAAATTTACTTTGTTTGATTCGATGATTCAATTTGATCTGATGGGATATGATCATGAGATGGTACCCATAGTTCTTTGGCGTCTTCAATTGATTTTTGTACAATAGAATCCATACTTTGATCATCTTGTGATATTGGTTCTTCGGATGATTTTGTTTCAGACATAAATGATTGTTCATCTTCAGTCTCTTCATCGAATCTTGGTAATTCTGGCATAAGATGAGCTGTAATTGAATTTAACATGGATCTAAGTTCTCGATCATTTTCACTTCTTGTCTTATCTTGCGGTAATGATATGTTTTTCTCCTCCGATATACTTGTTGGAATAGATGTTTCATCAGTTTTTTCCAATGAAGTTCTACATAATAGAAATATAAAATAAAGTAATTTTTCATGATCAAATTTTTTTAATTTACTTTGTTGTTTCAAGTGAATCTTCAGGTAATTGATGTTTAACATGTTCGATAGGAGAAGAGGTTTCAATTGTTTGTATTGGTTTAATGTTCTAAAGAAAAGAAAGAAAAAACGAAAGTGAAATGTTGAAATAGAATTTTAAACAATAACCATGTTTACTTCTTGATCAATATTTGTTTCCAATGATTTTACAACTGAATCTGTCGTTTGCAATTGTGATTCTAATTCATTGCTTTTATTGATTGATGATTCTGCTGTTGTTGTTATGATTTCGTGATTATCTTGTTTTTCATTTGTTGATAATAAACTTGATGGATGAGATTCTTCGGTTGCTTTTATTAAATTTGATGATTGTTTCTGTTCATCTGACGTAAATAATTGTGATGATATTTGTTCACTTTCAGAAAATGATGCATCTTCATCAGTATCTCTTCCTGCTATATCTTCATCATGTTTAACAAGTTCTCGTATTGTTGGTTCTGTTGCACTTGATTGTTCCTCTTCATCTTTTTCTAATTCATCATATTTTGATGTCGTTTCTTTATTGATTTGTTTTTCCATATCAGTAGAATAATCTTGCTCACCTTGAAAAAAAGCAATTAATTATCAATATTTATGTTTTTTTTTGTTTCATGTTTAATAGGTAATATGTAAATAATTTTTACATTAAAAAAATCTTGACATTTTGTAAAGTTCAATATATTCTTCTCAAGTATTAAGATTATGAATTCTTTTTTTTTATAATGCTAACATGATTAATTTCAATGTCTTATGTCTTAATAATTTGCTTTCCAAGAGACATATATCTCATATGTTTATGTTATTTGATCTTTTATGAGAAAAAAAAGAGCAAGAATAATAACTTACGGTTGTCGGTTTCTTTCTGGACAAATGTTTGATCGATTATATTTATCCTTGATTGTTCTCTATTGTCTGTTGTTCTAGTAGAAGTTAACAAATCATCCGAAGAACTAATATCATATGTATCTTTATTTGTATCACTTCTTGTTTTAAGTAATAAATTTTCATTTACATAATCATGACTTGCTGGTGTTATATCTATCTTTGTTATTCCTCGTTCTTCATTAATAACAGGTACAAATTCTCCAATTTCATTTAAAGTATCATCATGTGCAGTTGATCTATCAATGTGACTTGATAGATCATGCATTTTATCATAGAAACTTCTATTTTGTTTATCAATTAAATCTGTTGGAAATGTATTATATTGAATATTACTGGTTATTCGTGTTTGTGGATATTGTTGAATTTGAGTGTGTGAAAGAAATGGATCAGTTTCATTGACTCGAATATAATTAACATAATTTCTGTCATCTAAAGAATTACGTATAGATATATCAAGTGAAGGTTTATTATTGGGAATAAATCCTGTTGACTGCCATGATGAAGATAATGTTGTTGATTGTGTTGGTGTACTTGAACGTTCAGGACTATATCGATGATCATGATAATATGGTGAACGTGTACCACTTGTATCTCTTGAACTAGGTTGTGATGTCAAATAAGAAGAATCATCAATTGGTGGACGTTTTCGTTTGGTACGACGTTTTTTTATTTTACGAAAATTTCTTGATTCAGAACGTGAACGATCAATTTGTCGACATGTTTTTAATTTGTCACCAGAATATACAAGTTCATAAAGAATTTCTTCAACAACAGTTGGTTCAACTTCTTCAAATTCAACAAAATCTTCAAATTTAAATTCACCTTCTTGTCTAACTACTGTTTTAGCATCATCACCCCAACGTTCAATTAGAGTTGGATAATGATTAAGATCAGTTATTTCAAGTATTTCTTCATTAATTATTTCTTCATCAGAATCATCTAAATAATGTGTTTTACGAAAAGGTGATGAAGATGATGGTGTACGATAACGTGTTATAGATGGATATGATGGTTCATATTCACGATAATGACGAGTTAATGAATTTGTTGGACTCGTCGGTGGTGGACGATAATTTGATGATGATACATAGTATGAATGAAGAGTTCGTGGATCACCTGCTATTGGTGTTGTAGTATATGTTGGTTCTGTATTAAAGGTATTTGTAGATGCATAAGTATGTGTTGTAAGTGTCGAACGACTTGAACGATTATTTGACGATGAAATATTTTGACGATGATTATTTCTGTTGTATGAAGACGACGAGACACGGTTCGCCATTGAGTCGTCAACACTTAGGCGGACGACGCTCGGGCAACTGTGCTGCTCGCTTGTAAACGAAGTAACTGAATCAATATATTTATTTGCTTGCTTTGCTCTTTCTCTCTCTTCTGTTTTTTCTTGCTTTTTCGCCGTCGTCGACGCTAGCGTTCTTCTAATGCTGTCTTCTCTTTTTTCTCTTTCACCTTTTTCTCCGTCTCTCTGATTTTCGCCCCCGTCGTCGACATTTGCCGTCGTCATTACTGCTCTTTCATCATCACTCGGCGTAGTATCTGCATACTGCTCATCCCGCTTATTGTTGTTGTTCTTATTTTTATTGATAGAAGTTGTAGTAATAGCATGAGTAGATGCAGTCGATATGCTACTAGTACCATTGACAAAAGATATAAGAGATTGTGGTACAGATTTCTCTTGCCGATGCGTCGTCAACAATGATGTTGTATTTTCCCCTTTTAATAAATCAATATATTTTTTTCATGTCTTCCTTGTGCATCAGTATGAATATAAGTAGGAATAATTGCAGAAAAAAAGGGAAAAAAATTTTGATTAGTATTTGTCTTGTTCCTGATTTTTTTCTTTGTTAATATCATCATATTCGTACCATAGCTATTAGGGTTGGATTTGTTCTCATAAAAAGCAATGATTTTTTCATGTCTTTGTCTTTTTCTTCGTCCTTCATAGTTATTGTACATATTTTCTTCGTCGCTTTTTTTCCTTTTCTTTTTTTACCCGGTTTTCTTGTTCTCTATACATAGATTTCCTTTTTCTCTTTGTTTTTCTCTCATCACACCATCATCAATATTACTATGGAGAGTATCTATGTTTGAAGGCCTTCTGTTACTGCAAACGTCATTTATCATGAATGATGTCGAGTACATTATTTATTTTTTCTAGAATTTCTATTTTTTTTTTGCTCGTTTTTTTTTTAATAACTAGGATTCAAAATATTTACTTGGCTCTGATGCAGAAGATGATGATGAAAATGTAGAATTTGGCTGATGTTGCTTGTCTCGTTCTTCATCTTCGACTATTTTCGCCATATGTTGGCCTCGATTGCCAGATTTTTCTTTTTCTTCGTTTTCAATGGAAGCTTCTGAATAAGAGAAAAGAATAAAAAAAAAAAGTACAGAAAGCGCAGACAAATATGCATACGCCAAATAAAAATGTTTTAAGATAGTAAAACAAAAAAAAAAAAAAAGAGCGAGAAGAAGAAAAAAAACTAAAAATAAAACCTGAAGAATATTGGCAAACGTTGAAAAAATATAAGTAAAAAAAAAACAGAATCTGTTTATGCTTTTATCATCAGTTTTGTAGCTAGAGGTATTTTTAATGTCAATTAGCATAATTTGTTCAAGAGTTAGTAAAGAGAAAAGAAAAGTATTATGTATATACATATGTATGTGTTAGTGTCAATTCAATTAACTGCTCGAACAGCAGGCGTACCTGGAACAATATTAGACATTGATTTTATAGACTCTTCTTCTTTGGGGGTATCATAAAATTGTTTATTACTTATAGAAAATGTTGAATCGGTATTTATTGTAGTTTTTTCATTTGTATCATTCGAAATCAATGGGTATATTTGTTTTTGTTGATCATCATTAAGATTTGTCGACAAGATTTCATTCTCATCAGACAAAACTAAAATTAAAAAAATATATAAATATCATTTTTGATCAATTTTCTTTTTCATTGAATCTCTAAAAGAACCCTCGTCTGATTGAAAAAAAAAGAAAAAGGCGAAACAGATCTTTATCAGACTATTCATTTGATCATTGATAAACATATTCGAATCATCATATGAATAAAATTGATTTTGTGTCCACATATGTAGGCAAACATCTAATGATTTTTATCATTAAATGGTCACTTATTTTATAAAGAATGAAAAAATGATATCTATCATTTTCATATTTCGTTAATAAGTATGATATAGGTTATACAATCATCTAGTGAACTGTAGAAAAATGACATTATTGAATGGTAAAAATCCGTCAGCTAAAATTACAAATGACAGGCTATTGTACAGACACCTTTAGTTACATGAATAACATCTTTCTACACGCTTCGATGCTTTTTTTATTGAGTGTATCACATTTTTCAACGTCTTTATGTCTTTGATTTAATATCCAGACGCAAATATTTCAATACAACAGTCATACAATGTTAATAAGTACATACAATATATATTGTCATCATGAATAAAATATCTATTGTAATCATACAAGTTTCTTTCTTTTCAAAGATAATTATAATGAACTAAATATAATTGCGATCGATGACACAATCAAGTAACAATGCTGTCTCTCATCAATATTCATTTCTCATTGACAAAAGAGCAACTTTACATAAGAGTTTGAGGAGAACGGAGTAGATTCTATCTGTCAACAATCATCTCTTATTGCGTATATAGATCTATACATATACGAAGTCCAATTAAGTTAGATACACAAAGATTACTTTTTGTTACTGCCTCTATTCTTAGTCTATGTATGTTCACTTATTCAATGTCTTTCTTTTATATATAAATAAAGAAATTTGATTCTTGCCAAAAAAAAAAGAAATAAATTGCATCGATTTATCTAGGCCATAGTATGTAATAAGATCGTTAGTCAGTGCCTAGATGCTACTGATTTTTTTAAGTGTTTCTACACATGCAATGACACATGTATTTTTAACTTGTTTTTGTTATTCGTCTGTTTAATGGTAATGAGAAGAAAGAAGAAAAAAGAAAATTATATTTTGTATCGTTAATGTATTCAAATCGTCAAACATTGCCTATGTTTGCCGATTTTGCTGGTGTACAGTATTTTTTTTCTCCCTAAAGTATTATTATTAATCATCATCATCAACAAAAATATTAAAACGCGACAGAGAAGACGATTTATTTTCGAGGCTAATGCATCTCAATCAAAAAGACATTTTTTCGTTTTTTTTTCTTGTCATGCTCCTTATTTTTTACCTTACAGCTAGGTAGATGAAGCAGAAATAAACTAATCAGCATAAAAATACCTGCTGCTTTATCGACCGATAATGGCAATAACGGCGGAGCTTTCGTAGACTTGTTTTCATTAGCAAGGTCATTTTTTGCTTCACTAGATTTCTGATGTTGTTCTTCTTGTTGTAAGCTTTGTGTAATATACTGATATGAAGGCTGTTGATATTTATTCATAGCTAATGAATATGAATTCAAATTTAAAGATGATATTATTTCATGTTTGTGTTTTTGTTCTTCTGATTTTTTACTATTAATTCCTCGTAATATATCAACCATAATTCTTGTTAAAGAATGAATACCATCAAGATGTGCAGATGATGATTGTAAAGATGTTTCAGGACCTGAATATGAACGTATTCGACCAGTTTCTATTTGAATGTGTTGAACAAAAGGTCGACCTGAATAAGTACGTATTCGTTTTGATGGATATTTATTTTTCTGTTGGTGATGTAAACTTTGATTTTCATCAGTTAAATGTTGTTGTAGTGGTTGTAGTTGTTGTTGTTGTTGTTGTTGTTGTTGTTTTGGCATTAACGGCGTATAAAGCTGATAAGCTGGCTTTGGACAATATGATGATGCTGAACATAACGTATGACTATATTCTTGTGGCCACCATGAATTTGTTGATGATAATAATGGTGTTAGAGCACTAAATGATTGTCGATATTGTGGAATATATTGTGGTACAACTGATAATAATGGTCTTATAGTTGATGTGTTTGTTGAAGTTATTAACGATTCAGGAAGCTGATACGTATCGGAATAATAACGTATACGTGAATGCCGATTTTTTTGAGGATCGGCATGTATTGCATGTCTTTGTAAATGCATTGGTGCTAATTCTGAACGATATGTTGATGTTAAATGAGTTGGTTTAAAATCTGGTGCATCAGGATTTAAATGTTTTGTTGGTTTTATATTATCATTATCAGTTTGTAATAAATGTGTTGAATTACGTATTGTTTCACCTAAGTTTAATTTTGATTGTTCTTTATTTGTTGTTGTTAAATTTTCAGTAACATGATTAGTCTTAGATGATGAAGAAGGTAATATTGCATGACGATGTTGTTCTTCATGTTTATCGGTTAATAAAATTTCACCAACGGATATTTTATTTAATGTTGCTGGTAAATGTTGAGAACTATCTGTTGTGATAGTTGATTTTGAATTGTCTTCTAATGATTTTTTTTGTCCTTTATCAAACGATGGCTGAACTATTGTTTGCGCATCACTTGATTTTGAACTTTTTTCTCTTGATATAGACGATGAATCGCCGTTTTTATCACTCATATTAAGGTTTTTATTAGAAAAAGATGTATTGCTATTGTCCAATGTATGTATTGTAATGGCTTTCTAAAAATAGAATAAAAAACAATGAAGAATACTATTGAAACAGCTGTGCTGATGACAATATGTTTTTGAATAGATTTACACCCAAACATAATCAGTTTTTTTGATAGAAAACAAAATATTAAACTCATTTTTTTTTGTTCTTCAAGAAATAAAAATAGAATAAATTATTTTATGATGCATAATTTAAAACGAAAAATGTAGCATAATTTGTTTAAACATCATAATGTGAGAAAGAACAAGATACATATACATTTTACGATAATTTCTATACGTGAGTAATGTACAAATGAATTCTGTTTTGAATACGTATCAGAAAAAAACGTAATAAAAAGCACATTTTCCATGTTTTATGTATACTCGTCATGAATATATAATTATAGGGATAAATAATAAATTCGATTAAACAAAAAGAGAAAAAAAAAAAGCAAATATCCTGAGAAAGTATTTTTTTTTTAAATTGTAATAGAAAATTAATTTTTTGTTAAAGGTATAAAATTCATTATAATCATATCGTCTGTATCTATTTGTTAAAATGATTAGAAAAATAATAATATAAGAGAAAAATACTCAAGATATTTTAGAATGAATTTAATAAGCCTCTAAAAGTAAACCTCTAATATTATAGAGTACAAAAACAAATATGGTTTAT